CTTTTTTTATCCAAAAACGTATGTGCTAAGTCATTGATCGATTTAAACAAGAATATTTTCTGTCGTGCTCCTCGTCCCGTACTCTTTATTCCCCTTTTCAGCATCTTATCCCTATCCTCATATATTAGTCTGGATATTTGCCGTAGACTTGGTTACCCAACCCAGCAACATGTAAAATCATTACTTACTTACTTACTTACGCCTGTTACCCCAAATGGAGCATAGGCCGCCCACCAGTTTTCTCCAACCAACTCTGTCCTGGGCTTCTCTCTCCAGTTCTGTCCAATGTTTGTTCATTCCTCTCATTTCTTTCTCTTTTTCTCGGCGTAGTGTGTTCCTTGGCCTTCCTCTTTTCCTTTTGCCTTGAGGGTTCCATGTGGGGGCTTGTCTTGTGATGCAGTTAGGTGCTTTTCGTAGTGTGTGTCCTATCCACTTCCACCGCTTCTACCTGATTTCCTCCTCCACTGGAATCTGACTTGTTCTCTCCCACAGTTCGTTGTTGCTGATGGTGTCTGGCCAACGAATACGAAGTATTTTACGTAGACAGCTGTTAATAAACACTTGTATCCTCTGGATGATGGCTTTGGTAGTTCTCCATGTTTCCGCTCCATACATTAGAACTGTCTTGACATTTGTATTGAAAATCCTTATTTTGGTGTTGATTGATATCTGTTTGGAGTTCCAGATATTTTTCAACTGTAGAAATGCAGCCCTTGCTTTGCCAATCCGTGCCCTCACATCTGCATCCGATCCACCTTGATTGTCGATGATGCTGCCCAGATATGTAAAGGTGTTAATGTCCTCCAAGGCATCTCCATCAAGAGTGATTTGATTGGTGCATGTTGTGTTGCGTCCTAAAATTTTGCTCTTTCTTTTATGTATATGGAGACCTGCTGCTGCAGAGGCTGCTGCTACACTGGTCGCCTTCTCTTGCATTTGTCGTTGCGTGTGCGATAGAAGAGCCAGATCATCTGCGAAGTTCAGATCGTGAAGCTGCGTCCTAACTGTCCAGTTGATACCGTGCTTCCCTCCAGATGTTGACGTTTTCATAATCCAGTCGATCACCAGGAGAAAGAGAAAGGGTGAGAGTAAGCAACCTTGCCTGACACCGGTCTTTACCTCGAAAGAGTCGGTTAGCTGTCCTCCGTGCACGATTTTGCAGTTGAATCCATCATAAGAATTACGTATGATGTTAACTATCTTCTCAGGCACACCGTAGTGTCGAAGAGGCCTCCACAGTGTTTTCCTGTCCACGCTATCGAATGCTATCTTGTGGTCTCTGAAGTTGATGTAGGTTTGTTAGTTCCATTCAATTGATTGTTCCACAATGAACCGTAATGTAGCTATTTGGTCAGTACACGATCGATCCTTACGAAATATGTAAAATCATTAGCTGATGAATATCAACCAGACCTTCGTACGTTTGCCTCATCAATACTTGTTATATGCGAACCTGGCTCTACCATGCATCGTTTCGCGGTCAATAAGAAGATAGTCGTAACGCAAACTTCGTTATTTGCGTTAATTATTCTCACTGTACCGTTCACCTATAGGAATCCAATAAATGTCGTGAAATATTTCAGTAACTGTATATCGTTTTAAAAGAAATATGTTACTAATCTTAACATTTTGATCTTGCCTGTAAATCGGCATGTCTCTCTTAACATGGTTGTTATTTGGGAATAAATTATTATTATTATAATAATCACCGCATTTTTGAAGACTCATTGAGGCACTTCGGTATACTCATGGTGACCTTGAGTTCGACGATAAAATTTCCATTAAGTTGACAGGACATCTTTCAATAAAATCCTTCTCCCTTTTCAGAAAACAACTCACTGTGGGAAATCCTTGGCGCCTCTAAGGAACATACACCCTATGTACATGACTGTTTGGATTACGGTTCGTATCAAGCGCGTTCCATTGGACCTTTCCCAACAAATTCACTACTGATCTCGCCAAATCGTCAAAATAACCTATTGTGCACTTTCCTTATTTATACTCTACTATTGAAAATGTGGCTGTATTATACTGTTTCGGTCAGTGACGTGGAGTAAGTATGCTATCAGAAACTGACTCTTATACTTAATTTAACTGCCATAACTTTGACAGTAACTGTGAAAGCATTGGTGACAATTTGATATAGCCTGTAAAATGGCGCGAATCTTGTAACGTGGTTATATGAGAATAATTATATTGTTGTTATTATTATTAAATGTCTCAATTTTTGCCCATTTTGTGGATGATGGTTACCTTCGGGTTGGTGTACTCATTTACTATTTGACAGCGTTCAGCAAATCGTGTGTTCAAACACCCTGGAATGAATCAGAGGTCGTCTTTATTTAAAAAAGGGTTCACTTCATCATTGTAGCAATTATCGGGTCATAAGTCTACTATCGATTTTAGCCGAATCATTAGCCTCCGTCGTCCTTCTTTGATTAGTTAAATCCCGACAAGCATTGATTGACAGGTTGGTATTTTTTCTTGTAACGAGTACACTGACAATATGTTCACCTTCAGCCAAATGTTGGAGCACCACTATACTCATGCCAGGCCAAAAATCATTGTGTTTATTGAAATCAGTGCCTACTTCAGTTAGTTGGGCAGGACTATCCTCTGAAATAGTCCATTGAAGATGGTTGTGCTTAAGGAAATTAATTAGGTCCTAAATACTTTATATGCATCCAGCCCTCTCCATTGTTTTATCCAGGGAATTGGGTTAGACAGAAATACTCAGTCCCAACATCCCCTATTAATTTTGCTACGCAATACATTCTGGATGGTATTGTCCTACTGTATTATGATATACAGTCCCAGTAACCCACACTTAATCAGTTGACAACCAATGTCCATAAAAATGGGATATAATTTGCACCTTCTCAGTTAAAAGTACTTTTGAATCTGCACTCACTCTTGGTAGTGAGCAGATCAAAGTAGTCGTAAATTCTTTGTACCAGGGTAGCAACGTAAGTGTCGGTGGCGAAACGATAAATGAGATAATAATATAATGAAAATCAGAATGGTTTATGCCAAGATGGGCCTTCTCTGGTTCTTTTCTGATGTTGGTCAGTTTGTAAAAAGTCGGATCTACAAGGCGTCGGTGATGACAGTTTACAGACATGCCAGACCAGATCACGTGGTGAGCTCTTAAACCACGATTTGATCGTTTGGTTATGGAAATAATTGACAAGAGTAACTACGCCTTAGAAGTATATTAAAAATAAATTACCCTTGTTGACTGAAAACGTGCACATTTATAAAATAATTGGGTTTTGAAACTATTAATTTACAAACAACCACATTAAATGTAAAGGGTTTCGTAACATAGTATTTCGTAGCAGTTTATCAAACGACGGTCTTAAACGCGTATAGAAATAGTAAGCATGGGTATAGTATATTTTTACACCGGTAACTGCACTAATATTCTGTATATGTAATAGTCCGTATGTTAGTATGCAAGACAAAATGAAAAAGTAATACAAATATTCTGATACCTAATATGCTTGGTGATGCACAGTTTATACACAACGTTCTCACTACTGAATAAGAGCAGATAAATCACTGACGGGGAACTGAAGAAGGCAGTGACTAAAAAACAGACTTATATACAGAACTTTAACTCAAAGTATAAAATCAGCAGCTAGAAGTCGAGACGCTTACCAACTTATCTTTTTCTCTCTCTCAAAATATTTTTAACACTGAAAAAAGAGACATGAGAACATCAACATTGATCTTACCTAAGGAGGATTGACAATTTCGTCATCTAGATGTCTTTTAATGGTATTTACATTCAAACAACTTGACCCTCCTTCTATTACTGAGTTCATAAAGTAAAAAGCAGACACACTGCATGGAAGGAGAAAACGCATAACAATGTCTCCTATTTCGATAGCAACATACAGTATACAGGAGTAGTGGGTTTACTTTTCACTTGATGCTTACGTAGTCCTTAAAACATGGGCTGTTGTTTTCAAAATACCATACAGTTAAACTGAAAGGAGCAGCGCTCTGAGTTTTGATAAGCTTCATTACCTGTTCAGAATCGTACACAGACTAGGAGCTTCATTACATAGACCATGTATTCGTAAGAACGACGAAAATCAGAACCACTTAAATATTTTCTTAAATATAATTTTGTGATGGGTTCGCAGCTCACTGAATCAGTCATTTCAATACATCAGTGTTAGGAGCTATCAAGAAAAATATCAAACACTTCCGGAATTTTTCTCGAACGTTTTCACAGACGGGCTGTTTCGAGCTGCTCAAGTAAGGCGTTCTACTAATTGGTGGGGAAAAAACAGTACCTAACTCAGTTTATTTGGTCGCGATTTTCAACCCGTCTCGAGGTAGGAATGAGGCCAATTAGTTACGGAAAGAACAAAACTTTAAATCATTATTCATCGAGGTAGTGTTCCATTTACTTTTACTTCGGTTACAGAGGAAGTTTTCTATCCCCTTTACAACGGCATCTGAAATTCCGAAGCTAAATGGTTTCTTCATTAACCTTCAGTATGACACTACCAAATGGCCTGCTAAAATCTATGAACAGGATGACGACAAATAATTCCTCTAAGTATGCTATTCAATTTCTCTAGGCAGTTAGCCTATTTGTTAAATGTGCACGTTTAGTCCGAAACTCATATGACTCGACAGGATATAGAAACTTAGACGAGGTTATTTTTTAAAATACTTCGCTTACTATAATATTTAGGCCTAAACGTTGACAAATTGACTGAAGCTGCTTCGCTACATATTCAAACATAGGATAAAAAATTGGAGTATTATTAATAACCCAATTTTAATAAAAGCACACTGACACTGTTGTGCTACGAATACTGGCTTCTTATATTGTGAACAAAGATCAGCTACACTTCTGGTGGTAATTTTCATACCTTAAAACTTCACTGTATGCAAAAAACGCCGTACTAAAGATTCTAGAACTAGATAGAAAAATTTGATTTCCAGTGAATGTTTAACATCAGCGACTTCTTAAATTAGCGCGAAAGTCACATTGGCTACCTTGAATTTGGGGATTGTTTTTCAGGGACGTTGAAGCTAGATACTCCTGTCGTTAAAGGTAAATCATATGATCAAATCTAAGATATATATAATCAACAAAAAAACTTTAGTAGACTGCGTTATGTTATAGGATTATTACCTGCATTACAATTAAGCCTTTTTCTACTCACTGTTGCACATGAATAATTGTTACTAGGAAATAGGGTAATAAACAGTCTCAGAATATCCTACTGAACTAAGCAATGTTGATACTCATTCCGTAATAGAGCTATCTGCACTTATCATCAGTCATTCGTCAAAGTAGTTGGCTAAAAGTCATGATGGGAGCTTGTGTTAGCGGTGCCATACGGCATTCTTATGAGACTGCATTGTGCAAACACTTCAGTTAATTCGTTTCCATCTATGGGTTTTACTTTGTAAATTTTCGTAATGTAAGCATTCGCCCGGCACTTTTTGTCAGTCAACGATTAAGACATTCATTTTATTTATTCATTTATTACATACAAATACTGATATGGCTGAGTATCGGGATGGATATGAGCCACACAAATGAGGATATGTAACCTGTTCATACCCGACTCCAATTCATAAACTGACCGCTACTTTTCCCAACCGGTCCACAATATGTAGGCCACCAGGATGACATTCGTAGCATGTCCAAGCCCCTGAGGCCAGTATTTCAAAATGGTGTCACTAGTTGAGTCGCCGAACCTGAGTAATAATAACTGAGTTGTTACTGAGTGTCAGTAATCCTTCAGAAACAACAATAAATAAACTTGGAAAGTCGTCACACATCCTTAACTTGAAGAGATCATGTTTCGCAAACACGGAGAAAGACTACCCTCACTGGCTTGATCTTCTACAACCGAGCCAACGTCATGACGGCTCTAAGGTGGGCCGCTCTCACTCACTTTACGTAGATTGATCTCACCACTGATGCCACCACTAGCATTCACACAGCTGCCCAAACACACGAATTTCCCGACTACTTCTGACTACACTCTCGACAGTGAGTGCAGGTACAGAATCTTGCCAGTCTTGTAAAAGTGTTTCGCAAAGAACATACCGTACGTACGCACAGTGGTTGCGAAGCGACTAAGTGCGATTTGTATAGGATGTGTGTTGTCGCACTATACAAAAAAAAAAAAAAAAAAAAAAAAAAAAAAAAAAAAAAAAAAAAAAAAAAAAAAAAAAAAAAAAAAAAAAAAAAAAAAAAAAAAAAAAAAAAAAAAAAAAAAAAAAAAAAAAAAAAAAAAAAAAAAAAAAAAAAAAAAAAAAAAAAAAAAAAAAAAAAAAAAAAAAAAAAAAAAAAAAAAAAAAAAAAAAAAAAAAAAAAAAAAAAAAAAAAAAAAAAAAAAAAAAAAAAAAAAAAAAAAAAAAAAAAAAAAAAAAAAAAAAAAAAAAAAAAAAAAAAAAAAAAAAAAAAAAAAAAAAAAAAAAAAAAAAAAAAAAAAAAAAAAAAAAAAAAAAAAAAAAAAAAAAAAAAAAAAAAAAAAAAAAAAAAAAAAAAAAAAAAAAAAAAAAAAAAAAAAAAAAAAAAAAAAAAAAAAAAAAAAAAAAAAAAAAAAAAAAAAAAAAAAAAAAAAAAAAAAAAAAAAAAAAAAAAAAAAAAAAAAAAAAAAAAAAAAAAAAAAAAAATCAAAATCAACGTAAAGTTTACATGCATATACTTATCAGTCCACCATGTAGATACATACCTTGTTTTAGTATTGCATGCAAACTTTGCAACAATTCTGATGTTTAAGGCAGTCTATACGGTAAGTGTTTTCAGCTGAGTTATGTCCACTAAAACTGATGAAGTCAGCATCTCTTTCGACGATTCATAGAACTCTTTTGATGTGGGGTAATTAAAGGCAGTTTGTTTTTTTTTGGTGCTGTGTTTTCGCACTGATGTGGACATGGAATTTTCAGTCTAAATACGATTATACGATATTAAGTGTAACTTTTGTCTATTTCTGTTTCTAAGAAGCTGTGTGATTTTTGTTGGCACTCTGATGAGTCAAAATAATTTCTACGATATGATTAGAAATTTTTACACAGAGACTCATTCTAATCCATTAAGTAGTAAAGGTAGGGCATGATTTATGCCGTTAGAATATGTTTTAATGTTTTTCACTATAAATTCTTTTGAGTACTCCAATATTATACGAAAGACTGCTTAAGTGGTGCTTGATACGGCTTTAAGTGAAAAACGGTGTTGGTACACTTGTCTCATTTATCTACCGGAGATACAGTAAGCGATTTTATGTAATGTAGATTTCGATGAGCATATATGAATACTGGGAGAGTATTTTGATCAGCAAAGGGCAAGGAATGTCAGACCATGGATGATGTCACAAATTTATTTTGCTTCTGATATACCTTATTGTTGTACGGAAACACAATACTGTCTCCAAATCTGGGACGTGATCAAGATTCGGTGTTGCTATTGTAATGATAAGAGATGAAGTTACAGATCCTTTTGGATTATTAATAAACGTTAGCAGTAGAATAAATTTCTGTTGATAGAAGGGTGCCAAACCAAGCTTCCCTGACATATCGCGGCTGGTATAAGATAGGGTTAAACAATCAACAATTTGATGAAGTTCACAAGATGGGAACCAAAAGTTAGTAGTTATTATTGGACGTTTGCTAGATATGTGACGGAATAACTTGGAGGTAGATCCAGAAGGAATAGTTTTATGTGCCCTGTCAAAGATTGGGGTTTAAAAAACGAGTATCTGTGCTTCAAGGGCTCGAAAGTTGGTCATGTACGCAGAACGCTGGACAGTGAAATCTACCTACTGTTAAACACTGGTAATGAAAGTTTTACGGAATTCAAGTCGAACGGTAAACCTCTAACTGCGGACATGCGGAAATTTAGTTAACCCACTTACGTTCATCTTTCTGTAAGTTATGATACATATGAATATGCTTTTATTAGTTTGATAGTAGTCGTTGCACCAGGATGATATAAAGTATCTAAAATATCACATACTTAAGGGGACGAGTGATCGAGGTATATCTTTCTATTATCGCCAACTAAAACTTGGTAGTGATCCAGGAACTAGGAATCAGAGATGCTCTTTTCTCACAAGGTATGTTAACTAAATATGAAATCAACCAACAGATGAATTTGTGTGTTTTAAAGATTCCCATTGTGCATTTGGGACGGTTAAAAATCGTGATTCGCATTAGTTTTCCGCAGTATTTATTCCAACTTCAGTATATCAGGTGAGTATAAGATGTAAAGTAGGAAAGAACAGTAATCGACTATAGATATAAAGTATACCTCTCAGGTAATAACTCCTGGTACTAATAATACATTATTTCTCAAATAACAATATGTCTAATTTTCACAGATGCTACCACATTCAGTACAGGAGCTGTCGCAGTTAGGTTAAGTATAAGAGTCTGTTTCTGATAGCACGTTTACACCATGTCGCTGACAGGAACAGTCTGACAGCCATATTTTCAATAAGTGAGTCTAAATAGGGAAGATGCACTGTAGGATTCTTGGGTGGTTTGCCTATATCCGTAGTGGATTTGTTGGGAAAGGTCAACTGGAAAGCGGTCGATACAAGCTGTGACCTAGACGTGTTTGTACATATAGTGCATTTTGCCTGGAGGCGCCATGGATGTTTCACTGTGAATAAGGTTCTGAGAAGAGAGAAGAGGGAGAGGATAAAAAAGGCAGCAATGAGCCAATTGTATATATATATATATAGCCAAAGCATTGCTTAACCTGTCATGGTGACGTAGACAAAGCAGCAGTAAGGCAAGAAAAAATTCATACTGACCACTAAAAGTAAAGTAAATCATTGTAATATAGCCCACAAAGGAAGGAGTACAGCAATGAAGAACGAAGGGTCGTGGAGTGTGTCAAGTGGATAGGAGAGAAGAAGTAAGAAGCCGACTGTCTGTACATTGAAACCGAAAGTCCACCAAATAGCACAAAGTTCTTAAAAATCATAGATAACTATATTTTTCACTGCATAAATTTTTTATCGAATGACGACCTCTATTTTCCTGAGTAAGCATGTTTCGGGTCGTCTTGGCAGAATAACGATCCCAGCATCGTTTTGGAAACATGAATCTCAGAGTTAGGAAGCGTATAATAGCAACCTCAGTATCACTGATTAGTCGCTTCATCGATCAAAAAGAGCTAGTGGGATGCTTCTGTAGTGGAACGCTTCTACGAAGAAAATATGATTTGTGAAAAATAAACATTGTTACACTCGTTTTGTTTAACTGTACCAGAAACACTTTCACTACTCCTTGCGCGCAACGTTCTCTTTGCGTTGCTGCCATTTTTCTCTATTTGCTGCTCCCCGTGTAACGCCAACGTTCTCCTTCAATAAAACCTTGGAATATGAATTTATTTTGCTTTTAATCATGACGGGATATCATGGAACATTTCGTGGTGAGCATAGTAAATGTGGTATCTGGATTCGCTCACACTTCAGCGAGGAGAATGCAATTGGTGAAATGGAAATATTTATTATTGTACTAAATCGTAACAATAATTGTTTCATTGTACTCCTTTTGTTTACCTGTACTAAAAACACTTACCCGTAACTTTCTGTTTGTGTTGCTGCCATTGTTCGTTACATGCTGCTCTTTATGTCGCCCACTTGTAATTTCAGTGTTCTTTCGACACCACGAAATCACCGGCAAATATATTCTTTACCATGGCTTTATTTGTAATCATTATGACGCGATAGTAATTAGTATTTAGTGGTGATCATAGTCAATCTCGACTCGATCACCACTAAAAACTATCGATGAGGCATCAATAAAATACAGTTTACAGTTACGGAGAATGAAGTACGGATTTTCGGATTTATACTTCTCAAGTTTGACCGTAGATACTTTATCTCGAAGGTTATGTATACAGGGGCCATGGAAAAGGACTACATTACAGGAGGAATAGATGGGATTGCACATGAGCTCAAAGTAGAGAATTTGATTGAACTTAAGACTTCATTTCCGTAGTGGAACAAGTCCATATTCATGAAATCGATTAAGATAGTCAGTGATTGAGATATGACTTAGACCTTTTCCAGTGAAATTCCCTTG